ATCAACAAACTGGAAAAGGCGCAAAGACATGCTACTAAGTGACTCCCAGAACTGAAAGGCAAGAGCTACGAGGAGAGGTTAGAGGCTTTAAATATGCCAAAACTAGAAGACAGAATAAAAAGAGGTGATATGATCACTACATACAAAATAGTAACAGGAATTGATAAAATCGATAGGGAAGATTTCCTGAGACCTGGAACTTTAACCCTTCCACTGCTCAGGGGTCCTGAGGACATTTACACCCCTATGCGCAAGAAAAAAAAAAATTCAAAAATTCTTTTCGTCTTCTAAACATGTTAATTTGTGTCCCCTGAGCACGGGGAAAATAATAAAAAAAATTATATTGTACATACCAATGACACAATTGAGCCGACAAGTTGGCCGATGACGTCACAGAACGTGAGCGCTCAAGGGCGCTGCGTCAGGCAGCCGTCACTCATGGCTGCTCAGGCGGCCCGAGTTGCCGCGAATTTATTTTCGCGGTATTATTTACAGTATTCTTGGGTCATTTTACACAAATTTTTTTCGCTAGTATTGTTCCAATTATTACCACTAGACGTTGTATTATAATAAAAATGGTATAAACTCACTAGGCACTCACATATTAGTGTCACAAGTATGCCCACCAAAATGGTATAATTTACAGGAAATATTCAATGTATATTTTTTTTTTTTCAATATAAACACACAAATAAACTTGATATGTACTTTTATTTACAAAAGAATTACACATTTAGTAGTCCTGGAGACTGTGATACTGTGCAAAACATTCGATATGGCACAGAAGGACGGCACACGCTTCGCACCATGTCAACACCAATTTACGTTTCTGTGGCCTCAATTTGGTACTGGAACACACAACACACCGATGCTGGCTTGCTGCACGAGCTCCAGTTGGTGGTAATTTCTTGATTTGGTGTATCAGAAAGGCCTCCCTGTAAGCGAGCCTGGGTGCAGGAGCATGGTTCAATATTGGGTCTCGAAGGGTCTTTGTTTGTCAGGTGTGTCCTTGCCAAATTTACCTAGTAATTATTTCACAACTTGAAAACTAAACGAACGGAAATATGGTTTCCTACCCGTTTTCACAAGATACATGTTGTAACTGTTCAGCATTGTTACGTCAATAAGGTGGAAAATCATTTTCTTCGTCCACTTCACTGTTTTCCGTACACACTACACACCATCATGTCACATTTATCAACTAAATGCATGTTGATGTTGTAGTCCATCACACAATCTGGCTTATATATTATTTGCTTTGTTGTTCTGTTCACCTTGCCACTGTCCACTATTGTACCAGGGTGAATGGTGGTCAACATGTTCACTTCACGTCTGTCTTTCCACCGCACTGAAAGCATTGCACCACTTTTTCTTACCTCGCAATCACCTACTTGCATGGCAGTGTCAAACACGGGCATTTCCCTTCGTTTTGGCTTTACTGTTCCACACACTCCAGTCTTATTATCAAGCAAGAATTTTGTTAGCAAGGGACTGGTATAATAGTGATCAGTGTACAATATGTGGCCCTTGTTTAGATATGGTGCAAGCAGTGACTTCACCACACTACCTGAGAAGCCATGTTCATCATTAGCAGGAATATCTACATTTGTGGCTGAATAAAGTATCATGTGTAACACCATTCCTGATTCACAGTCACAGAGCACAAAGAATTTCAGTCCAAATTGGTGACGTTTTGAGGGAATATACTGCTTGAAGGCAGCACACATTTTGAAAAGCACAAGGGATTCATCAATAACCAGCTTCTGAGCTGGTACGTAGTAATCTCGGAACTTTCCAATCAGGTCATTTAGCACATGCCTCACCCTCCAAAGCCTATCATCCTGTCTCTCGTCTGCATTTTTTGCAAAATGAAGGCACCGTAGGATCAACAGAAATCTGTCTTGGGACATATATTTCCCAAACAATGGTGTTGGAACAGCGTTGTCTTTGCTCCAATAATCTGAAATTACGTGTTTCACACAATGTTTCATCAACATGCAAATTGCGAAAAACACATACAGTTCACCAACAGTTGTCTCTTTCCAACGCTGTAGTCTTGAAAATTCTGATACTTCCTCACCTTCAATGAGATCGGCCGCAAGTCTGTTCGTTTCGTGAACAATGTGTTCCATGAGCGGCTCATCGAAATATGCAGTAAAGAAGTCCATTTCACACATTTTGTCACCAGTATCAGGGAAAAGATCTGTAATTCCCACATTTCTGTTGTCAAAGTCGGGAATCTGTGGAACAAAATCTTCCCCATCACTCCACACAAACAAACCTGCTGCCTTCCGAGAGCCATTAGCTGCACCACGGCAAGGAATCCGGGGACCAGGAGCTGAAGCAGGCATTGCAACAGTAGGGGCAGAAAGGGTAGATGAGGAAAAAGATTTGGAACATGAGGGAATTTGTTCCTCATTGTCACCATATTGTTCCATGCGGCGGCGCTTGGCTGGGCGGGCAGCTGATGCTGTGAAACTTGTACTAGCACTAGCAGCCAGGGTAAAACTATTCTCCGATTCTTCATCACTAAAACCTGAGAAAGATTCACCTGTTTCAGACTCGTCAATCATATCATAAACGTGCAATGGAACAGATGAACGACGTGCTTGGGCGCGAGGTGGTGTTGAGTGGTGTTGAGTAGTAGCGGGTAACTCGTGTGGCATCCTCACCCTCGTGGCACCAACATGTTCACCCTCACTGTCCGTTGTTTCTATTTCTTCAGGCTGTGTATAATCTTCATCTATATCCAAGTCGTCAATATCAGATTCGTCAACGTTCTTGAACAATTCATTTGCAATTTCGTCTTCGGTCAAAGACTGCTCGGCGTGGTGCGCTGAGCGAGGTCGCACACTGGGTCGTGATGCGCTCGCCATGGTGTCTGGCCACTAACTAAAGCCTGTGAAACAAAGGAGGCCTGCTTTGGATTTTTTTTCAAGATGGCGTCTCTTTACAATCGCCCCTGGCTACGGTAAGGGTGATTCCTTTACACTGCGGGACATTTGAATCGTGCCTGGCACCCTTTGGCGTATATATATGCCATGCGCACGGTGGGACATGTTACTCATGGCGTATATATACGCCATGCACAGTTTAAGGGTTAAGAACAAGAGGTCATAGATATAAACTAGCTAAACACAGATGCCAAAGAAATATAAGAAAATTCACTTTCGCAAACAGAGTGGTAGACGGTTGGAACAAGTTAGGGGAGAAGGTGGTGGAGGCCAAGACCGTCAGTAGTTTCAAAGCGTTATATGACAAAGAGTGCTGGGAAGACGGGACACCACGAGCGTAGCTCTCATCCTGTAACTACACTTAGGTAATTACTGTTTCACCTCTGGCCTGCTCAAGTGCTGCCTGAGCTTGCTTGATCTGGACTGAGTTCTTTCATTTCTTTCTTCTTTTCAGTTTACAGTGTCTCCTTCAGTCTGTGATGATTTCCTTCAGTCTTTTGGTTTTTGGTTTCTCTTGCTTCCTATCGTTGAGTCGGTGAGCTTCATTCTCTCCTCATGTAGTGGGGGTTTTGTTCTTTTGGTCCCAGTGGGCAGTTTGTTCATCTGCAGCTGGCTCCTCCTTTTCTGGCAAAGAATGAGTCAAATGGGGTCTGGAGGGGTCCTTTGGTTATTAATGCTTGGTTAGTGTTGCCAGGGGTGCATCATATGTTGTGTCATGGCAGCTCTCTGCTGCTACCCTTGTGCCACTGATTCTGCCTCAGTGGATGCTTTGAGAGTTGGTCTTTTTACTTTGGTCCCTGTTCCATGGCTCGTATTGCTTAGGTGGTCAGCAGTGTTATTAAGTCTAGCCAGTCTGCAGTCTACCCTTAAACTCATGATGTTAGGAAATATGCTGCTCTCTTGACTATATTCTCGAATATGTCCTGTCTGATATTCAGGCGAGGGGTTTTGGAGGTTGAACAGGGTTCTTGGCGACCCAGTATCTTGTCATTGTGCCTGGGCCCTGGCACCCTTGTGTTGATTTTGGTTGTGTTTCTCAGCCAGGAGTCTCATCTTCATCTTAATTTCTGTGGTGCTCCCTCCTCCCAGGTGATTGCTCATTTGTTTTTCTTCTCTGTGAGTAGTTAGCTTCAGGCAACCACAAAGAGCTTTCCCCAGAAAACCAACACTGAATGTAATGAAATGCCAATTTCTATGTGAACCCTCACAACCTCCCTCCCTCCAGGTTGTCGGATGTTTGGTTACATCTACCATAGAACTGAGGATGAAGAAGCTGGCCTGCCCCTTTTCCCCCAAACAAGTGGGGAAAGTGGGGCGAACGAGGTTGCACTAGTTTTAAGAGATTCCAGTCGTTTGTTTACTTTGTTTTTTTGGCAGTTCTTGGGCTGCAGTGGCAATTGAAGTTGGCATTGGTTTGTTTTGTCTCGATGATTTTCTGGGTGCCTTCCCAGGTGGTGGCATAAATAAATAAATAAATACCTAAATATCACTGCTCATGGTACCTTTGTTGAAATGGCCAGGTTCTGGCTCTGGAATCCGGTAGGTAAATAGAACTCTACAGCTGATGTGACCTAGGTCGGCTGAGCGGACAGCACGCTGGACTTGTGATCCTGTGGTCCCGGGTTCGATCCCAGGCGCCGGCGAGAAACAATGGGCAGAGTTTCTTTCACCCTATGCCCCTGTTACCTAGCAGTAAAATAGGTACTTGGGTGTTAGTCAGCTGTCACGGGCTGCTTCCTGGGGGGTGAAGGCCTGGTCGAGGACCGGGCCGCGGGGACACTAAAAGCTCTGAAATCATCTCAAGATAACCTCAAGATAGTAGGTGGTACACTCTGTGATAGTAGCTTCAGGGAGCCACTGGGGCTCACCCTAGAACCTAGAAATTGGCATTTCATTACATTCAACACTTGTTTTTGTGTACTGTATGAGACTGGCATGCCTGATAATGTAAATATTAAAGCAGTATAAGTTTGACAAGATGTTTCATTATACTGTAATAATTCATGTTTATTAAATCTCTTATACCTCTTATTTTTTCTTTGGCAGTCCATCCTTTCAACAAGAGAACTACATCTGTTTTGCAGACATTCAGTGATTTAAGACTTTATGTAAGTAGTAGATATAAATACTGGTGATACAGTGTAGTATGAGAGCAGTAAATAGGACAGAAAAATATGTAGAGCACACACTCACAAGAACTAAATGCTTTATCTCAGCACTATATGTTTAACTCTCAAAGTAATTACCTAAGTGTAGTTACAGGATGAGATCTATGCTCATGGTGTCCCATCTTCCCAGTACTCTGACATATAACGCTTTGAAACTACAGATGGTTTTGGCCTCCACCACCACCTCACTTGTTCCTGCCGTCTACCACTCTACAAAAGTGAATTATCTTATATTTCTATAGCAGCTTTGTTTAGTTAGCTGAAATGTATGATCTCTTGTTCCTTAAGTTGCAGGTCTTGGGAATTCTTCCTTATCAATTTTGTTGATTCCTGTTACGGCCACTATGGGTCGCAACTGGGTTCTTTGCTGGAGGAACCAAAGTACAGTACTAGTATCTGACCCCAAGTCAATAGTGGCTTTCAAGGAGTAGGCTTGGTAATGCAAATAAAATTTAAGGGGGGGAGTTTAACCACTGTGCTGCACGGAGTTTATTGTGAAATTCCCCCGGTGCGCATGAAATAAAGTGTTCCCCCCAAATTTTTTTTTCTTCATAAAATTATTCCCTTCCCTAAACATGTCTATGTAAAAATAAATACCAAATTCCACTTTGGCTGTGGGGATGTGGACAAGGTGCGCTGTGACGTCATCAGGGCCTGGTCGCCCGTGGGGTGAATCGGCCAGACACAGTTGCGCAGGCCATTCAAGCAATGGGTGTTGCCAAAAATATATTTTCAATTATTTGTTTTATATATTTCCAATGCAGTTTTATTTGTTTTTTTTATCATATATGATGAATATTTGTGTCCTTTACAATATGTATATAGTAGAACGTTCATAATGTTCCCTAGAACTGTGATACATGTGTCCACAATAAATGTTTATTGTTGCAATATTTCCTGTTAAAAATTCTTTAAAATTACAATATGTACAGTTTCACACACTATTTACACAGTAACACACTGTATTACTCACTCAGTACTTTGGAAGTGAGTAACAATCAACGAAGTAGTCCATGGTACAGAGCGAGACTTCGCTCTCAGTGTACCAGGTACAGATAAATTTTCGCTTCCTGTTTCTTCATTCTGTGTGCTTGCAAATAACGCACTCACGTACACCCTTGGCTTTAGTATTTGTAGGTTGTATGTAGCCAAGCTTGTAAAGCATAAGGTAGTATTGAAAAGATTATAGGAAAAGATCAATTTGTAACGTAGTCTTGAAAAGATCGCTTTGTATGGTCCCACACAGGAAGAGTTTCAGCTTACCTCAAGAGTGTCTGTCAGTCAGAAAGAGATTCAGCTAGCCTCAAATAGTGTCCGTCAGTTAGGAAGAGATTCAGGTATTCATGAAAATATCTATGGAAAACACCACCATGGAAGTCGCTAACACTGTTCATCTATGCTATTTGTATCAGATGTATCATCACTGAACGCAGAAAACGATTCATCTATGTTTCATCTAAATAAATTGTAGATAGCATAGGATTGCAAAGGTGACGCTCAGAGCTACAACTGGATACGCTCGCTGTATCGTCCTCATAGGTGCTGTATCACTTGCATCTGACCTTTGTGTTAGGTCCTTATTGCGCCTAGCTTCCCCAATATTATGACCCTTGTGTTCTTCAAACAATAAGGTTTGAATTTCACCGACAAAGTATTATCTTTCAACACTGCGTCAGACAGGTGTTTGGGAGCCAGAGGCGCGTGTGCCACCCATGGTTGTTCATTCAGTACTAACCCAGCCAGCAGCCCAAGGGCATTCTGGGAATTTTTTCCAAGATAGCTGCCTCTCACTGGAGGTCCTAAGAGTCCATTTCGTACACAACCAACCTCGTACACATTTAGAATTGGCTACGAAAAATCAAAAAGAGTTTTCTCGGTTGGCGCAGTTTCCCGCCAACCGAGAATACTCGGTTGGCACAGTTAAGTGGTTAAAGGAATACGACACTTCATCAATTATCAATATATTCACATATTATCACTTTCCCATCACCTTAAATAGAATCATAAACGAAGTATTACTACAATGATATATACACATGTGTCGCTCTCATAAGACACTAAGTGCTCCTCGATGCTCATGCAATGCAGCCTTGTCAACTTCCGTGTTTCCTCAACACACAGTACCGTCCTCAACCAGTACTGGGAAACACCAACGAGTCTACCCTAGCCATGGGCCAGCCTATCTACAGTCTCACAAGGTGCTCCTTGTGAACGCCCACAATCACACTCCAGCCTGGTGCTGGCAGAGAACATCAGCTTCGCGCTGCTGGGCTTCTACACGAACAAATACAAGGGTAGCGAACCCCTGGCAGGAGCTTCTTGCAACTAGCTAGTTACACTCCTCAGTAGCACCTCACTGTCGGTCGTCTCTTCCTCTAGCCAGTCCCGGGATACGCCGAATTCTGTCACTGCCACTTCACAGGCAGACAGCAGATACGGCTCAGTTCCTCTTTGGTGGCGGCTCACTGCTCACATAAAGTAGAATGGAGTAGAGAGATAATAGGCTGCCCTGGGTAGACTGACTGTCTTCGTACCACCGCAGCCCTACGTTGCCTCTGTGGATGCAGACACGTCATCAGTAAACTGGCCAGTACTTGGGACACTAGGAAATACTACTTACAGACTCTAACATTGACATACAACTCAATATCCCAATAGATGGTGCTAATGTTGCTAGGCGCCACCTCACCAGAGGTCAGCTACAGCGACTCTTCGGGCTGACCAAGGCAGGAATCTAGAGTCTCTTTCAGGTATCATATTGCCACCACCAGATGGCGTCATCCATTGTGTGGGGGTTTCGGGAGCGGACTCACAGATGGCGTTGACGTTGCTACTCCATACTCCGACGATGGAGTCGGGTTTGTAACAATTCCCGTTGCTGTTTCTGGACATAGTGATCATATTGCCTCTTTTTCTTTTATCTTCTAGTTTTGGCATATTTAATGCCTCTAACCTCTCCTCTTAGGTCTCATCTGTCAGTTCCAGAAACCATTTAGTTGCAAGTCTTTGCACCTTTCTGGGGGGAGCCCCGTCGGCTCCCCGGAGCTTTACCGGCTGATATGCTAATGTCAGACTTTGGCATCAGTCATGTGTATGGAGTTCTACGGCCTACCGGGGACCACGAGCCAGAACCTGGCCCCCTCAGAGAGGCAAGGGGAGCAATGGCCTATAGAAACCCCCGTGTGGTTGGAAGCATTCTATGTCTGCCATCGACCGGGTCAAGCATCCAGAAAGGTAAGCATTCCAAAACAAACCCCTATTCTGGTGAAAATTGCTACCTAAAGCCGAACTAGTGGATAGAACTCTTCAACAGAAAACAAGGAAACTAGTATGACGTCATACGTCACCGCGCCGCTGTCTGCGCAGCTCCCCCCTCCCCGGGAGGGGGAAGGGGGAGCCCCAGACCTCCCATGCCGGCTATCCACCCATCAGTTCTTCGGCTGATGCTATAGGCAATGGTTATGTGCTCCGGCTCCAGTGGTTGTTTAAGCACTGTACCTAGAGTGTTGTGTCTGTTTTCTAGGTGGTGCGTGAGCCGGGAGTGATTCTTCAGTACTCGGGCTGCATGCGCCTAGGGTTCCCTTCCCTAGATGCCCTGTAAGTACTGCCCTTGGGGATTTGGGGCCACCTTCCACAAGTTCCTTGGGTCCTGCCCCTGCTTGGCCGTTTACTGCTTGGTTTTCGGCTGCTCTTTGTGTGCTTGGGTGTTCTGTCTCCCTTGTTCGCCTTAGAGTAAGGGGCAGTTTTTGCACTGGTGGGGCGCAGGGTACTGTGCAGCTTGTCTTTACCAATCATAGCGGCCGGCTCTGTTCCGCTTGGGTACGCTGTCCTCTTGCGGGGTTTTCTTTTTCTTTTTGTTTATCTACCTGGTGGGGGGGTCTGCCTTCGTTTTTACCCCTTGTGTCCCTTGTGTTCTGAGTATTTTCTGGTGGTACCCCTGCTAGGTCCCCGTGAGTGTACATGTCCCGGGGGTTCAGCTCTTAGAAAGTTGTTTGGTAGCTTTGGGTGCCGGTTAGCAGTACCCTGCCTGGGATTACCTGAGCGCGAGTCCTCTTATAGTAAACGCTCGGGACCCTGGGAAACCCCTGGGGGCGCGCGGGTTCGATGGATGTGACCCCAGAGTCCCCCCCTCGCTTCCAGCAAGTTTGAGGGTTGCTCTCACCCTTTGTCTCTGGGTGACTCTCTATTTTGCCTCCGTCTGCTGCCTGTGGGGTCGGTGACACCTTCGACCCGGAGTCATGCGAGTTTGGTTGCTCGTTGTGGCTCGGTTACCCAGTTGTGCTAACAAAGCGGGTGCGGGCAGCAGGGGCGTTGCGCTTGAGCCTTGGTGGTGGTAACGTTCTCGTGGTTTCCTCCCCGGGAGCCCCGGGGCTGCCCCGTTGTAGTTCGTTTTGGGACTTGGGGGTGTTGGTTGCTTCGGTTCCATCCACGCCCCCTTGTCTTTCCCCTGGATCACCCTTCCTGCCTGCATCCGGTTCCTTACCGTCTGTAGGTTCGGGGCGGGGTTTTTGATGGTGTTGAGACTCGGGCAGTCTCGGGGAATTCCCCTTCCGGGGTAGTGACGGGGGCATTTGAGCCTGTTCCTCCAGCCGTGTTGTACGAGTCTGCCAGTGGGCTCCCTTCATTAGTGTTTATACGGCTGCCCCGGTTTTCTGGTACGGCCGGGGCTTTGGGGGAACGGCTCGGCCCCGGGGCCTGTCGTGTAGGTTCCCGGGGCTGGGAAGGGGCTGACTTGGGGGGCCTTGGTCCCGTTGGACCCCGTGGGGGTTTTTATCCCCCTCTAGGCGGGGCTTGTGGTTACGCGGAGTGGGGTTTTTCCTCCCCACTCACCATACGTGCTGTTGGGCGTCGGCCTCTCCCCGGGCTGTGTTCCTTTTTGGGCTCTGCTTCTTTGGCCGGTTTTATTGTTCCTGCTTCCTCTTTTGGCTACTTTTCTCGTG